AGTATATGGAAAGAACCAAGAATAATTCCAGATGGAAACAATGAAGCACGACTTTTAATATCATTATGGTTTTTGTTTTTATTATTTAAAATACACTTTTATATATGCGGCGGCACATTCATATCAGGGATACAATGAAGAAAAAAAAAAATAACCATTAAATGTGGTTTGATATCCATCCGTTTCCTTAACTTGTAACAATCCCAAAAAATAAACAATAATCTTAGTAATTTACTTTAAGATAAACAAGCCACACAAATGCTTGTTTATTCTGCGATGTGGAAGGAGTGTCTTAATGTCAAACATAAGCGATTCGCAATATATTTGCGATATAATAATTTCAATTAGATGAATTTTAGGTGAAAACTCAATTTCAAGAAGTTCTGTAAATTTTCAGCTATCTCATATAAAAACTTTGATATTAATGGGTTTTTAAAATATGATAGTGAATAATATCGAGGAGAACTAAATATCTCTGTCGTTTCTTACATGTAGCAGTTCTTACAATATTCCGCAAAGATCAACAAAAAATAAGATCAAATTGACTTAAGAAGAATCGATACACTTATTATGTTGGGAAGAAGTTGGAGAAAGCTCAAATATATTAAGAAATTACGTAAGTGGAACCCTACTAAGCATCATCTAAAGTTTCAGAAATGTTTGCCAAGGAGAGTTTCTCAACCGGTATAAGAGCTTTATGAAGTGGTTCTAAGCAAAGTTTTCAGCATTCAAAGCGCACAATTAATTTTTTAAATCACTATAAGCGTTCGCAATGCATCTGGAAGTAACAGTACCAATATTAATAACGAATATTACGTGAATTGCTCGTGGTTCAATATATGAATTACATTAATTAAATGCAATTTTTAATCCAAATCGGTTTTATTATTCTTGAACGCATCCGATGGAACGGAGTGTAACAAAAATTTAAATAAAATTGAATAACAAACAAAGATCATCCGAAATTTTAAAAAAAAATTGGTTTAACAATAAAATATGTGTTTTTTTTTCTCAAATATTATCATTCCAAACAAGAAAGAAAAAACAAAACAAAATGATGACCCCAACTCATGTTCACGTTTTTGTTAGCATGTTTACTCTTCATATTATTTGTTTATACAATTTAATTGTATTTGTTCTTTTGATATTACCGCTGTGCCATCTCATTTAAAAATAGTATTGTAAAAGTAGAGTTCCCTTAAATATTATGAAAGAGATTCTATTACCTAAGCAAGTTAACATTCTTAGTATGATTAATAAAGCATCGTCTCGAACAAGATCTCGAATTATGAATGGAATTTGAATATTACATATTTTTAAAATATTTGTCAGTTATGACTATATAACTGTGATACAAGCTATTTTTATTATCACAATATCGAACTGTTGTATGTTGTTATATTAACATAGACTGTTATCAAATTCTAAGCACATAAAATATGTAAAAATGTCTCATAGTAATGCGGGATCAAATTTTTAATTTTAATGTAGTAAATTCCATTGTTATAATGCATTTTTATTGCTAATTAAATTGTTCTACGTATAACAAACTATGTTGCGACATTTTATTATATTTGTTATTCAAGTGATGAAAATTGTTAAGAATGTTAAAATTCCCATAAAGGTGGTTATGTATATTTTATTTAAATGCGCTTATTGATGCACTTGTTACAAGTTTTTTTTTCCAAATAATCGGGCTCTATTATTCAATATGGCGACAATTTTAATCAATACACATATTGAAAATTGTTTATGCACTTAGTTTGATTTGATTAAAATTTCATACAAGTTTGTTGTGTTCTGTTGAAATTTCTTTTCTCTTGAAATTTCTCTTAATTTTCAAGGTTCAATTCTTAAAATCTATACGAACAAATCTGAGTTCTGCTTTAACAACAATTACTTGAAATACAAAATAAGATTTTGTACTCCATAATATTACTTGAGTCCTTAAGTGTTACTATTGTATTTAATCAAATAGAATTCTTGAGGCTTTGAATCGCTTAATCCTTTAAATTTTTTAATCTCTTAAATATTCTCAGTATATTATCAAATACATCCAGTAAAATGCATCAATACACATATGTAGCACCAGTTATCTACAAATAATGTACATAAGGTTAAACAATGCTTTTAATAAAATTTAATTCATTCTAATTATGTTAGGCAATTTAAAATTATTTCAAATAAAATTGATTTTCACTAAAACATTATTACATACATAGAATTTTAATTAACTTTTCTCCACAATCTCCCTCTGTGTCTTATATTACTGAGATGTTTTTCAATTTTAATTGAAAATTCAAATACTTTTTACTTATTAAATTATATTTTACCACCTCCTTTCGAAAATTGTGTTTATTTAGTCAAAACAGCTTGCGTTTCACATTCGACTCTATTTTTGTTAATGTAATATAAAACTCAAAGTGAGATTGAGAGACGCTTATTAAATATTTGATTTCACCCCATCTATATTTTTGTTTTTGAGCTACAAAATAGTGTGATATTAAATCATCAAAATATCAGGTTGTCAAAACACCATTATTAATTAACTATTGAATTTAAATTGCACATACAGAGGATATTTTTCCCTTTTTAAAAATTCAAAAATTAATTATTAAAACCCCAATAGCGAAATAGAAACTAAAAAAATCCAATAAAGGAAGCATATATTATTTTGTATTCTAATGATTCCTTGTTCGGATGTGATTTTCCAGATGTTTACGCTGTGATTCTACGCACGTGATATTATTTTAGAAATCATTGGTACTGAAAAATGAAATGAGGTTCTGCAAAAACCAAATATACTCGTATGTATAGTTAATTTTATCGTCTTCAACATGTAAGGGTGACAGTTTGTAGCTTTGTTCAATACACTCTGTCAATTGAAAATTAACTTAAAAATAACCACTTAAAATTTGTAATTTGAAATAAATTGCTAAAAATAATATTATTATAATAATTTTTTGTTCAACTAGACTAGATAGTAACAAAATTAAAAAAAAAAAAAAAAAATTAGAAAAGAGAAAGAATAACTAACTAAAATATTGAAAAATCTTTTCTTCCTTAAAATTAGTTTCGCCTCGGGGGGCTTTTCATATTTTCATTTATCTCATGTACAAGAATTGAAATTTTCGAGTATTTTCACAAAAAAAGGTTTATATTCAATTTTGTACTATGGAAAATTTTTTTTTGAAATATTCTTGTTTTTGAAACATATTTTATAATATGTTGATAAATTTTCTACAGATTTTGGTTTAATATGTTTTCAGTGCAACGTAAAAAATGTCTTTAAGAGTCATCATATGTGTAATATGCTATAGTTTATGAATACATATGGATATACAATAATTATATATATACATATAAATCACAAAGTAATTTGAGATCTCAATTTTAAGTTACTTTTAGGTCACTTAAATATTGTTATGGTACTTTACTTTAAAACTTAAGAAAATAGCAAATAAATTTTTGTTGTATACACAGAATGTATGTGCATTCTCTAAAAAGAACAAAGAATTTTAAATATGTTCTGATGATTTTTTTTCCTTATAATATACAACCGCTGTGACAGTATTGAAGTTGATGATAATGTTTTAAACGATAATATGAAACTTGGTTTCCAACCAATTTCTTATGAAGGATGCACTTTTCATATAGTACTTTTAAAATTGAAATGAATTGAAAAAAATCATAAGATATACACAAGTACTTTGTATGTTGATGTGATATAAATTGATACTGCTGTTTTTAAAATGGAACCAATCTATTTCCTATATAAATAACTTAATAATAGAAAACTTTTACATTATCTTAAATGAATTTTATTAATGATAAATGCATATTAAATTACTTCAACTAGTTTATACAAAAATAATTAGGACTGTGACTGCCTAGTTTTATATTGGTTTTTTAAGTAAGACTCGGTCATGCGCTTACCCGCTTGAATTACACTTATAATATGTCACCCTCACCTAATTTGCATTTTCACTCATCTTGAATGACTCTTAAATTCTCAGAAATTTACTTCAAAAAGGAATACTAATTTTTAATTAATTTTAGAGGAACTGCAAATAATAATGTTCAACGAATAAACGGAAACAAAGAAAATGGAATTTTTGCTTCAGCACAAATTTATCAATGTTTTAGTAACTTATATTTGCATCGTAAATTTATAATTACTCTCTTTTTAAATTCAGTAAAACCGAATTTTCATTAATTAAATAATAAAATTTTTTTTTCTCAACACAAAGCCGTATATACCTTATTAATGTAAAACCTTTACATGTAAGAAGAAAAGTTTTCATATTGTGCTTTAAACATTATATAAGAATTATAAAAAAAATAAAATGTGCAAGATGCAGATCAATGATGCAATATGAATTGCATTTCAAAAATGAAATTTCGATTATAAATAAAAATAAAAAAACTGATGTGAACAGCATATGACCAAATGTTATTCTATGTTATTCGAATAATAAACCAGGGAAAAAACCTACACGAAAAACCAGAAATTATAGAAGTCCTTTAGAAGAGTTTCGGATGTTGCATAGGTATACGCATTTTAAACTGAAACAAAAACTGTTAAACAATTCGCCCAAAATTGAGGCAACTGGATATAGAGGCTCAGACAGGTCGACAGGTATTTTGGCAAAAATAATTATTTTGAATTCTTTCATTACTTGCGCGAAATTTGAAACTTAAATTTAATGTTATCACAATACTTTCCTTTTTCTATTCACTGCGTTTAGTAAAAAGTGAACCGGTTTTAATTACGTGTTTAAATTAAGATTTTCGATAACCATCCAGTGTAACACATTTTCATTATTGTATGTAACTAATAAGTGTAAATAATATGTCTGTTTATGCATATGCAAGTACAAAATAACTTTATGTATTTATTTATAGGTATACAATTTTCGAGGAAACTTAATTACTTAATCCATATACAATATTATTATCTTTCATATTCTTTGCAAAATTAAGTAGTAGTGGAGTGTTACTTAACATTTTTGAAATTTCAATATGTGAAAAAGTTTCCTTTAACAGTTTGAAATCAAATTTAAAAGTATCGAAACAGCCGGTTGTATCAGATAAAATTAAAACGCTTCACGGATAAAAACTTGCAAAAAATTCTGCAAAAATTAAAAAAATAAAAGAGAAGAAGTTTTACCGAATATTAAAATGAAAAAATTTTGTTGGTTTGTTGTTTTTATTAGTTTAGTGGTAAGTTACGATTAAAAAAATGGCAATCCTATGTGATTTAAACTGAGTGTGCTCATACCATAATTATGATTTATTTTTTGCCATTAGTTTAGAATGCTTTAAATGACTGATTGAATTTAAAATAATTGATATTAGATGAGTTATAAACTTTTGAAATTAAAATTTAAATATTATTATCTTTACAGATATCTGTTGCTAGTGAATGGAATGAAGATTGTGAAAATCCTCCAGACTTAAATCAATATGTAATTCTTTAACTTTAACTAATCAATTACGAACATAATTTTCAAATTTAATTTTAATTTATTGTTATTCTTTCAAAAGGATGGTTATTGCTGTCATGAAGACAAATTCATTGGTATGGAAGATATTGACAATACGGAAATAATTAAAGAATGTGCTGAAAAATTTGGTCTTACAGTTAATAATAGAAACGATGTTATATTAACATCGGAAACATTAGAAGCAAATCTTGTATGTTAACTAATATAAATTATTATTTTGTGAACTTTGTTAATTTTCTTTTTTGCAATAGTGCTTTTCAGAATGTGTTTTTGAAGCTAATAATTACACTGAAAATGGAACTTTAAATTTAGATTTGATGAAAATTGATGCTAGGACTTATAATCATACAGAAAACTTAAATAAATTAGAAAATATATTCATAAATGCTATTGATTTATGTGGAATAAAAGGTAAATAAGATCAATATTATTGAAAATCTACTTATGTTAAATAAGCATTTATCATTGTAGCGGAAGAAAAAGTTACCGAATTAAAGAAATTACCAAATGCTGAAATATATTTTAAAACAAATTGTTCCCCAACACCATTAATATTTAATGAATGTCTTGCGAAAGAATATTATAAAAATTGTCCGGAGGAATATTGGTCAAAAGATATTGAAGATTGTAAAGATGCAAGAGCATATACCATTAAATGTCTAGTATAAAATTTTAAGTTAAAATTTCTATTGTATTTCATTTTTGAAATTATTTTTAATTTAGTTGTTTTTTTTTGTATTAAAGCTGTTGATTTATGCATATTTTGTTTTGTTAAAATAAGGAGCTTTCTAACTGATTTTAATTGATGGATTCAAAGTTTTTAAACAGTTTAAATAACCTGCATATCTTTAAAAAAAATTACTATGTACATACAAACATAAGTCTCAATTCTTAAGTGAAATCTTAAAACTATAACTACATATTATTTAAGTTAAATCTGCACTTACCTCGCAGTCCGAGTTTCTCATATTCAGGGGCAATAATCTTCAAATTAACTATGGACTTTGTCATCTTTATATGGTACAAATTCCTATTTATATTATTTTAAACCCATTATATTATTGCACTGTTCTTTTCTGTTTTAACTCATTGTTCTAGTTTTAAGACCATGAATTTTGTATAATATGAATTTCCTTGTCAAGTGCCCTACAATTGTAATACTTTCATAAATGTATAAATGCATTCATACATGTATGTATGTATATACATAGATTTAAAATGATTTTATAATACTTAATATGTACATATGTATCTGTAAAATTGTTTTAATAAAATTAGGTTACCTGATTTTTATTTAAGCAATTGTTCTTTTTCTTTATCGAATGCCATTACATTTGAATAAATATACAGTTATGAATGAAATAGACCTATGTATGTAGAAAATGCAATTCTCCAACTGTAAAATTGAATCAGGAGTCCTTTAGTGTATAGTATATGCATACATACATATATATGTATTATATTCCTTATATATTCCAATAAAAACTCAATAAAGTATGATTTATTTGAGGTTTTATATTTCTTTTCCTGTTTTTTTACAATATTTCCTTTCTCCATGTATCACAATTATTCAGATAAGCAAATTAAGTTAAAAAAAAAAAAATCCTATAAGCTTATACCAACAGAGCACTCACTCACTTAAGAAATAAGTTCAAATATGAAATTCAAAATTTTTGACATTAATAACTCATTTGGCAGTCAAATGATACAGCGCCACTTTCGAATAAAACTAAAATTGTACCACCTAGCAGGCTTTTAAAATAATAAAAATAAGATAAGTCTTTAAATGTTTCAACATACAATTAAGAGATGTCATCCCTATATTAATCAAGATCGTTTAATGTTTATCGTAATTTTAGTCGTATGAATATTAAATTAATTCCAATAAATTTTTAATTCCAAATTACATTAATTCCAATAATTAATTTAAAAGTTCTAGTTTCGAAATACAAGACCGTTTCTATCAGAATCTTGTCGTCTATGTTTTATCGCTTTTACCAATTCTACTGTTTTTGTTTATTTAGCAAGAGTATATATTATTCGAATTTATGTTATTCAATAAACGCATATAAAACATAAAAAATGGAATCATTTGCAAATTTGTTGACATACATATTTTGAAATATTTATTGAAGTCCACTACCTAACAATATTCTCATTCAGATTCTCTTATTTTAATACACACTTGAAGTGGAGTTGCTTGTGTTTTCTTTTGATTTCAAATGTAAGTAATACTATGTATGGAATTATATAGAATAACTTTAACTACCTTACAGATTACTGTAGAACAATAAAAGCTTTATCTTTTTATGTAAGGTATTAAAAGAAAAAAAAAACAAAAGATTGGAATAGAGATTTATGTTCAATGCTTGAAAGCATTATTCATATAAAATTTTAAGACAAAAAAGGATCATAATGAAAGAAATTAAAATATATACATGTTTTTAGTTAAAGTACATATAGAAAACCTGGCAGTATAAGAATACAGAAATTGATGCTACATTTAAATAAATTTATATATGTTAAATGTTTTTTGTAGGTTTATAAATTATAAAATAATGTTTTTATGCTCTATATAATAAAACAATATCCTTTTTTTTTGTTATAAATAAATTTAACAAAATGAATATTATTCCATTTTTAAGGATTATAAATCAAGACTTTTTTTTCTCTTCATCAAAATAATAATATGTCACATATTTTTTCAATTTATGCCTACATACAAGGCATATTCAGTTGATGTGAATTGGAGGAGAAAATCAGAGAAAATGGTACATGTACTCTATGGTAAAATAAAATAAAAATAAAAGAAAAATGACCTTAACATACAAAATTATATAATTGAGTAGAAAATATAATGAAAAATTTAATTTTCCTAGAGAAAATTGCCTAAACTTTAATTTAATTATACAAAAAAATTCTCTTTACGTATTTTTATTTCAATTTTATAAAATTTAATTGTTTATAAAGAATGTCCCATTTGTGCAAAATAATATTGTTTATTTTATATTTAACCCATTATTCAATGACATTAAAATACCACAATATAATATAAATAATTTATTATTAAAATTGTTTTTCGATTATATTAATTTTACGCAACTATATTAAATTTAACTGGGCCTTAAATTAGAGCCTTTAAATTAGAGAAATACTATTGTTATCAGATAAATAATTAAAATTGATTTATCATTTTACGACACTAAGCGAGCGTGTTAACAAAGAAAATCATTATATGACTATTACAAATCCTATAGCATGCATTTACATTCATTAAATTTAGTTCAATATCGTTTTGAAAAGCTGCAAACGATGCAGGAACATAATTTGTAGGCGTTAAATCGATATTTTTTTTTAAATGGAGATTGAGGAAGAACCAATTCGGTGTGGCCTATCACAGGCGGGAATTTTTTTGCAAAAAATGTACTTAACAAACGCATGGGAGCAAATTAGACAATGGCATGCCGTATATCGCTGGCGTTCAATTAGCACTAAATATGACAAAACAAGTTGTGCAAATTGTAGTTTTTAAAACAAAGCTTCTCAAAAGATAATTAAAAAGTCTGAAACTGAAATTAATTACTAATCAAAAGTTCAAAATTTTAATTTTTTTGGTTAACGGTTGAGTAACTTAGAAACGTTTTTGCAGTTATCAGTTTCTCCAAATCGTAGATTCGCCATTCGAATTGACATTTAATATAAATTTAATTGACGCCTGTAACAAATCATTTGTGAAATGTCAAAAACAATTTCAAAAAAATAATCACACTAAAATAAGTATTTCTTACATTATCTTAAAAAAAAATTTTTAAGAACTTGTTTCACAGTTCTTTTTCGCGTTACAATTCATATTACATTTATGTAAATCTCAATACCATAGTAATTAGTCATATATGTTAAGAAAGCACAACAACGACGTGTGTATGATTTTAAAAAATAACTCCTATAATTACATTAAAGATATTGGTGAATCATAGAGAATTTTATTAATACATTTAATGGCAGATATATTGGCAGACATATAAGCGAAAATATTAACCTGGTAACGAATTAAAATAATATACTTATGTACGTATGCATGTGTAAATCAGAAAACTTATTCTCAAAATCCAAGTAAACGAAAATTAACAATAACAAAAATAAATAGGTTTCACATAAAAACAAAATACAATAATTTTAGCGTCAACAGCAAGAAATGAGAGATAGCTCGACGAATACTTAATAAGCTGTCAAAATATTCCCGGAGACTTCATAAAAGAATAAATCAAGAAACACCAAAATGCTTGTACTATATCGTCATCAACGTTACTGTGCGATATTATAAAAATTAAATTATAATCGGTCCTATTGCTGTTTTTCATTATTTATTTGTTTTTGGCATACGATACGGCATATCGGAATTTGGTCCTATTGTTGTATTTCCTTATTCATTTTTGTTTTAGGTATACGATACTGCATACCGTAATTTTACCGAGCCGCATTATTCATTTATTGCTATTCTTAATATGATTAACGTTTGCATTAAAGGTAAACAAGTAGATATTTGTTTTTAAGATTGAAAACGCAAGCCCGAATTTGGTGTTGTTATTACGCACGACAGTGTTTTTGCAAAATATGTACTTTATGAACGCATGACAGGTAACTTGACAATCGCACAACGTATATCGCGTCGCGTTGAGTTAGTACTAAATTTAAAAATACAAGTTATATTGTAGTTTTTTATAACATAGGTAGCAGATAATTCGTTTTTTCCAGTTAAATACTCTATGTTTTTTTTTTAAATACTATGTGAAATACAGTTCCCACTACTGTACCTATTCAATAACAATTTTGTTTTTTAATATTTTAAAAGCAAGAATTATTGAGATTTCAACTATTTTACCAAATTCAAACTTAATTCTACTGATCATTTATGCTTTAAAAATCAACTTATGAAAAGGAATATAAGTAACTACAGAAATAAAAAGTGATAACAGAAAATTCACTTCTGAAGAATGTTCCCATCACCAAACAACCATCATACAAGAATACAGATATAATTCTATATACATAATTGAATACATACGTATACATACGTAGGTTCACATTGAAATTCATACAAAATGTGAATAAATAAATAATAAAGACGACGCCAATAAAGGTAAGACAACAAAAAATGATTTAAGAAGCTTAGAGACTGAGAGTCCACCATCGAAACAACAGTTACTTTCAGACAAAAATGGAATGATAAATGTCAAAAAAATTTCACATTATTTTCTCCGACATTTTCAAGTAATTTCAATGACATTGGTACACATAACATTATACGACACAATACTAAAACAAAATATTTACTAACGTTTTTTGTAATAACACTAAAAAAAATTTTTGAAATCGTGTTTTCAAAACATACTTGCTTGTATATAACGCATATAATAAATGGGATAAGTGTATGCACAATAATAAAACTACTGATATAGAAAGTTTATAAAGAAAATTTGAGAACAGTGGAAAGAACATCTTCTTTTACTGTATAAATTCCAAAAATTTTTTTTTGTAAATTGATGAAGAAATTGAATTGGACATTAAATTTTACGATCGCTAGTGAAAATTATGTAAAAAATTTTTATAAAATTTGCAAAGAATTGTAATAAGACCTTGAAATATTGATGTATGTAAAATTTGTGTGTGTGTTGAATGCAAGCATTGTTATTGAACAAAATTTATGACTCTTTTACGGTTGTTATTTTTAAAGTTTGAATATACATACA